GAGAAGCGGGACAACTGGCCCAGTCGTGAGCTGCGTTTTGATTTTGCGTTGGGACAATGGCAGACTCACGCATCGACGATTTTCACCTTGATGGCACGCCCGCTGCATGACCCAGTGATTTCTCCGTCGAGAGATCCTGTACCTAAGTCGAATATTGTCAATTTGTGTGACGGACGCAGTGGATATTCCACAGACATGTGATGTTGAAGCACTAATACCATGATCAGCCTGATGTTAGAAGGAAGCTGGTGAATTGACGTTGAACTAACCTTCCCGCATTGCTCTTCGTCTGGACAAGCCGCTGTGACGCAGTCAGTCGGCGACGTCGGGTGACAACCCTAGTAGCTGCCGTAACTCGGTACGTACGGCCAATACAATCAACACAAGCACCCACCCCGTTGCACTTGTTTGCGTCCATCGTACCTTCACACTTTGCGCCTACCCACAACGGCGATAGGTCGCTCATGGCCGCAGAAAAGACGACGCCACCTTGCATGTTGGTGGCCTGAAAACCTGTAGGGGTATGAGACAGAGCCGATGAACGCCTTGCATGAAGGGCTTACCGGCACACGCTACGCCCGTTTGAGTAGTGAACTTGGTGTAAATTATTAGGAATACGAATGTACAGTGACATTGAGGAGGTACGTACGTCGTTGAAAGTCGTTACTCCGGAGACAGCGACCACCACATGAATGATGCCCATGAGCGATAGGAGCAGCAAACCACGGTGTTTGTTCAAAATAGTGTCCATGATGTGAGTATGGGTACTCGTGCAGCAGGCAGCGTGTTGCAGGGTAGCGGATGTTACTTATATCTGAGCTCGTAGCCTTCAGCACGAGATCCTGGCGCGAGAGCTTTTGGAACATAACAGGGTCACTACGCATGTGGTCGAGCTATTCTTGTTATTAGCACTCCACGCGTATCTCATGGAGTTTCCGACGCTACATACCTAAACGACCGAGTGAATACGGGTCTACAAGGTCCGAATCTACGCAAGACACACTGTGCAGTGCGGCACGAATATGTGGGAATGAGCGGCTCTTGAAGCTACGTTTCTCGCCGATTGCTCTCTGAAATCTGCGAGGTAGTCAATGATTGTAGCATATTCTCATATTCAATAGATTCCCAGACGCACCATTCGTAACCCGCATGCATTCACAGCACGGATTCCAATTTGACCCAATGCTCCCAGCTTCCAAGGTCATTGAAGGCCTAATGCGGGCCTCGTCTGCATGCCGCGCTGATCGTCCCAGGACATGTACGTCTCCAACATGATCGCCCTACACTGTCAGGCGAAGAGTCCACAACTTGTCTGGATTGAGAGAAATTTAAGAAAGAGATTAGAGACGAGTATCATACGGCCGCGTGGCAGTATCTCGATCTACACACAAATAGGAACAAATAACGCGCAAGACGCGTGTGCCGCGCTACACGTATTCAGAACCAAACTGCTTGTAAGCTACCTACCGTGCATTGAGACCCAAAAATGACTAGCCTGTGAGTTCTCTTGTTGATGTCAAGGATTCTTTGCGCTGAAAAATATGCAGCGGCACTCAGCTGTTGCAGTCTGAAGATGGCTCTCAGACTGCGACAATTCTCCCCGTCGCCGCCACGTCACTGCCGATCGTGCACAAGAACTACCTGAACACCCAGGTCGCCATCGCCCGCTTGCCCCCAGAAATCCTCGCCCAAGTTTTTCTGCACTGCATCGTTCCAGTTGCGATAGGAGGATACGCTTGCCCTCCTTCCCACAAATGGCTCAAGGTCTCGCACGTATGCCACTTCTGGAGAGAAGTAGCCTTAGGGACACCCGGCCTGTGGACTCACATCCACGTTAGAGGCCTCGCCACTACCCTCGAGTGCGCTAACGCGTTTCTTGACCGCTCAAGACAGAGCATGCTAACGCTGAGAGTGGACTTCGTAGCGTGGAAGTTGTCACCTGTCATACATGCGCTCATTCGGTCGATGGTTCGCGCGGACAATCTGCACCTGTATCTGCCGATCACTACCATGAAAGAGATAGGACGTCTCCTACCTCATTTTGCACCACATCTTCGCTCCCTCTATCTCGGTATTGATTGCGATCTCTACAGAGGAGATGAATCATACGACACTTCTCAGTTCCTCCGGGCATGCAGTGCACCAGCTTTACAAGAGCTGAAGATCAGCAACGTTCACTTTGAAGGGCTGAAAGGCACACTCCCATTCACGTTGAAGCACCTTTCAATCTACAATCCCGGTCGTGGTCCTAGTGAATCCCTTTCGGTCCTCCTAGGGATTCTACAGGGTCTGTGCTCTTTGGAGTCCCTTGCCATCTCCTCCGATATGTATTCGGCATTGCCCTCTATACCCAGCTCCTCCATTCACATGCCACACCTCAAATTTCTGCGCGTGGATACCTCCACTGAGGAATGCGTACATCTTCTCGCACTTCTCGTAATTCCTGCATCAACGATTGTCTCTGTGTCGTCCCGCACGAGAGTTCAAGACGACGACGGGATTCTCCTTGCGTCTGTTTTGGTTGACAAGCTTATGGCATGTGTACAGCACATCTGCCGCGAAAACATGACTGCAAAACTTGTACTCAGCAGGACGCACCTGCGTGTTTTCCAGACGGATCGCAGCGATCACGAGGCGCGCTCCGTAGAATCGTGGCAGTCTCCGCAATTTGATGTCGCATTTATTGGCCCGAACGGAAACATACCCTGCTCGTGGTTCGCAGACGTCTGTACTCTCGCATCTCCTCTCGATGTGGGCATACTCTTCATCAGCGATGGTCGGTTATTGGATTGTAGTCCGACACTTTCTCCAGAGCACAATAGTGCGTGGCACGAGGTCCTTCGTTCGATGCCGAATCTCTTCTTCCTCGGTATCAACAACCGGGTCATGAGCGGGCGTATCAAGGACGACCACGCCGTTCTTGAGCTCATACGTCCATACCGTTCTTCGTCTCCTGATGATATCGGGGCCACCTCTACTTCCGAATTTCGAATACCGGTCCCGAAGCTGGAACATCTTTTGCTTCAAGACGTAACCTTCAAAGCCGCGAAGTCTTCCAGAGGCCCACGATTTGTGGATGAACTCATGGACGTGTTCCAACAGAGGAAGGAGGCAGGCTGCGAACTCAAGCAGATCATTATTAGGAAGTGCGTCAACGTCGAAAAGCGCAACGTGAAAAAGCTGCGCAAGGTTGTCGCGGTTGCATGGGATGAGGTCGATGAACAGTAGTAGGCGGAAGAAGACTCAACGAGTACTGGACTGGGAGACGTCTCGTATAGTCGATGCTCGCTCTGAGTCTGGATATCATATGACCACTTGCTTGGATGTATGTCCTTCGTTAATCGACATTATTTGGCTCATATCCTGTCGCATACAGATCGAATCACGTTGATCAAAGGTCCAGAACTCAGAGGCAGTGGTCAGCGTTAGCGCTGACCGCTGACCGCCCAACATGGTCCACGACTGTCCGTCGACCGTGACAATCTTGTTTGGATGTCTCCACGCAACAGATGAGCCCATGTTCACGATCTCCCGCGTCCCGCACTTCTTGCTCGGAGCTATCTGTCACACGCCGAGAGCGTGATCGTTCAATCATGCGGCCCCCACGATATCCTCAGACTGGTAATGTTTCCTGGACTCAAACGCGTTGCAATGAGTAGATTGCTACGATTTTGCGACTGACACCATATCTCCAGTACCGCTTTCATTGCGAAGTATCTCAACATACCGGTATATCCAATCAAAGCAGCCCATTACACGCGCACTTCCAAGTTTACCCAGGTGATTTCGCCGTCAGTGACCGTTAGGACTTGAAGTGAACCCGCTGACAGGACTATCATGTTGCAGACTTTAATGAAAGATACTCCAATCCGGCACACAGCTCTGCGGGTTCTTTGCGTACGGTCTTTCGTGCTTCACCATGACATGCCGATGGAACAGCTTCGCGCTGTGGCTTTGGACTCGTATAAAAACTCTCTGGTGGAAGTGGACTCAACTTCAGCCCGGAGCTACCACACGATCTCTTACGCCAACAGCTACAGGCTAGCCTCAGGTGCGTGACTGATTCGCACATCGAGTCGCTGCTTTCTTTGCTGAAGCCTCTCCCACTCTAGTCCGAAGCTATACTTCCGAGTCTTGACGACCCAACGACTTTTCACTACATCTTACATACCATCCCACCATGCGTGTCACATCTCTCTTCGCCGGTGTCCTCGCCGTCGCCGTTGCGACTGTCTCTGCCCTTCCGATTATGTACCAAAACGACGGCCTCGCCACCCGCGGTTATGACGGTCATCACGACCTCCACATGCGAGACCTCGACACCCTCATTGCTCGGAACGGATACGCCAGCCTCCTCCTGCGCGAAATCGTGGACGACCTTTACGCCCGCGGACTGTACGTCTTCCTTCTCTGCCCTTCTCTCAAGTAGAAATTGACGTTCGCAAATGACTCACAGGAGCAGGTCAAATGCCATTAGGCGGCCTAACGGATCCGGGCGCGGGTCAAGTTCCACACCCCCGTCCTCCGGTACCAGCGGCGGTAGTACAGCTCCTCCGGCACCCGCTGTCATCCAGGCTGCGCCTGTCGGCGCCGGGGGAAGCAAGTTCACAGAGGACCTCAAGTAGAGAGATATCAAGCCGGTCAGACTATTTATGCTTATATATGTATCGCTCAGCAAATACTGGTTGTATTCGAGTTTTGACAATCTCGCGGTCAGAGGAGCTCACTGCGCTGCTCTATCGACGTCAGTTGCATCGCGAACAGAATACGAACCGTTCTGTCCTCTTTCAGTGAGTCTGCCCCGGGCAGCAACTGACTTGACTGTAGTCTGCGTCAGACCTGCATATCTTGCTCACTCCGCAAAGCTCAGAACGAAGTCGAGGGAGGACTCGCTCGCTCCATGAAACGAAGGAGAGCGCAAAACAAACAACCAAGGTTCTCGCCGCACCTTGCGAGTAGCATTCGTTTTGATCCAAAAAAGACCTACATATCATGCAAAGTGATGAGAGTGGGATTTGAACCCACGCCCCCGAAGAGACCAGATAAACAGCTCAACGCAACTGCCTTAGTCTGGCGCCTTAGACCGCTCGGCCATCTCACCATGAAGACTGTGTTCCTTGAGGCGCCACTTCATCGCAGCGCGAGCGAGATATCGTGTATGCAAGTATCTAGCTCAAACCTGCGTGAAGGGCAAAGTATATTCACTAGGAGCATTGTATCAACGAAACGACTTGAAAGACTGGCGACTTCAGGAAGAAAACTTTGTGACCGATGATCTCAGAGGGAACTAGACGGATCGTCAAGAAAACTGGGCACAAACCATGTTGTACGATCAATCTGAGCTGCGTTTCGTCAATGGAGCGTGAGCAGCCTTCTGAGAAGATTTTGCTGTTTAGTAGAATCAGCCACAGACTCGATGGAATCATCAGGCTTCAGGGCCTCCAAGGCTCGTGTTCTTCAGCTGTGGAGCCGGTTGGCCAAGTGCCCTCTGGAAGACGACAGCCGAGGTTTCCAACCAACAGCACCGTTGCAGGTTCGAGGAGCAGCGTGCGGCGAGAGCATGATGCAATATGGATGGTATTTCCAGTGTATAGCGTACAACGAAGGTCTATATCTGCATAAGGTCTACAAAACACACGTCAGGATAAATCCAGCAATCAACGAGCACAACCAAACTCACTACGAAAGCAAAGCAACAACGACATCCCCGAACAACAACGCTAGCTCCCTTCACCGACCATCGCTCTCCACCCTCCTGGGGTACCCGTCCCTGTCCCACCACTGCTCCCACTCCCACTTCCACCTGTTCCTCCGCCTCCCGCACCACCCGCACCTCCAGCACCAGTCCCACCCAATCCAATCCTCGCCGCTACCGCCCTCATCTGCCTCACTTTCAATCTCCGTGTCCGTACCACCACCACGAGCACCGCTAGAACCCCGACACCCAAGTTGAACGCGATGAACTCGAAGAAATCGTATCGTTCGAGGGTGGAGATGCGTCCACATGGTTCAAACGCTGGGAATGTGCGGGTATTTGGTGGGAGTTGGTTCTGATTTTGTTGTTGGGAGGAGGATGGCATGGAGGTGTTCAGTGAGGGTGGAAGGGAGGGTGAACAGTGCATTAGGCGTCGGGTGCCGAATGGTTGGCAAAACGGTTCGTGTAGCTGTTCAAAGCACGTAAGTCCAATCAAAATTCACATGAAAAAGACAAAAGAAAACGTACAGAATCTACAGGACACGGCTCACACACCCCAAACGGCACGCACACCATATCCTGCTCCGCGTCCGAGTTGTTATGATGTGGACTCGGAGGCTGGGCGGATTGGCGGTGGTGTGGTGGTGTGTGGGGATGTGGTGGTTGACCTGAGACGCGCTGACATAGTGCAAAGAGGGTCGCGAGGGTGAAGAGGGTGCGGAGGAATGTAAGTGTGCTGTTGGCCAAACGAGGAGAGGTTAGCTGGAATCTGAAGCTGAGGAGGTAGAACGTACTGAGTTAGTGTGTGTGTTCTGGAAGTTGTCATGGCAGCATGGATGGTATAAAGTGAGCGGTGTTCACGATAGCAACTGGCCGGAGTAACGTGAAAGAAGGACGGTCGAACGAATGAGGTGGTCGAAGAACTGAACAAGCAGCAGTGACCAAACAAACGCCCAATCACTACCGCGCGTCTCCTCTGCGTCCTCCAAACTCGACCCTTCACACCATCCTCCCGCTCTTCTTCCATACCTTCCATAATCACAAATCTCACCTAACATGTCGCGCCGCACAGTAACAGTCGAAGATGCTTGGGACGACGACACTGACCTCCCTTTGCCCTCCCGCCCTCTCCCCAACACCGCGCGCGGCCCTTTACTCGAAGCTGTCGACTCTGACGGTGACCCTGACGGCGACGAGGATGACGACGAAGATGTGCCAGAGTTGCTTAGGAGAGAAGGGCTGGGGCAAGCGGGGCCTGCCAGTCCGCAGGGTTTTGGATTTGGCGGAGGGATGGGTGCGGGACCTGGCGCGGGGATGAAGCAGGATGGGGTGAATGTGGTGACAGATATTACACCCTACAAGAAGTGAGTGAGCGATTTCTTTAGGTTTTAGTGTATGCGGCAGAGCAGTGGAGTACGGGGCGTACGTTTCTTGAGCTTTTGGGACTCAGAGAGATAGTTTACACGGATGCGCGTCGCGTCGAGTCGTCAGACGATCAGGCAGGAGATCATGAATGCGTGCATACATCGTGCACCTATCTTCAGTTTCTATTATTATGATCTTACGTCCCCTTCATCGTCTCTTACAACGGTGTCATGGTTCTAACGCGTCTTTCCCCCACAGATGGACATGCGTCTACCCGATCTACATCGACGCCAAACGATCCTACAGCACGGGCGAACGGCGCATCGCACGCGCCAAGTCTGTCTGGTGGCCTCTCAGCAAAGACATCGCTGAAGCCACCAACCGTCTCGGGCTCGGTACGCTGCACGAAGCGAACAAGAGCCATCCGCGAGATTGGGAGAACCCTGGTCGTGTGCGGGTGCAGTGGAGGAAGGATGGACGGCTGGTGAACCCTGCGATCAAGTCGAGTGCGTGTTTTCCTTCTGTTTGAGAGAAATTTATGTATTGATGAGGATTTGGATTGCAGAGAAGCAGCTATTGGAGATGATCTCGTTCCAGATCCAACTGACCAAGCCAGACTCCATCCCCAAACCACCCTTCACAACCACCACCTCCAACAACGCCAACCAGACCCAACCACAAACACAGCCCTCCAAATCCTCCACAAAAGGCAAGCAACCCGCATCCAAGACCGCCGGGAAACCCACCTCGTCCACCTCCCCAGCGCAGATCCAAGCGCAGCAGCAGAGTCAGACGAACGGGGGTAGGAGATTGCCTGTGCCGCCGGAACCGCTGCCGCCATTGACGAGCAGGGTGTCGCCGTATTCGCCGGCGTTGGTGAGTGGGGTGTTGGTGGAGACGGTGAAGGCGGGGATGAGTGCTACGAGTGAAGGCGGTGCAGGGGCGGGTGGTATGGGAGGTGCGCCTGGGATGGGAGGGAAGGGGAAGAGGAAGGTGGTGAGGGTTCGTGGGTGACGAATGAATGCAGCGAACGCAGAAATGTGAAGGTTGATATCTAATGCGGGTGTAAGTAGACTCAACTCGTTCTTTGGTGTATTGTGTTAGGGTATCCGGTTGGAGGATGATAACCCTGGTTTGACACTCCTGCTTTCGCCTGAATGAAGGGGTCATTTGAGGTACACAGGTCATGACCTGACCTTCTCCCAGTGCTCTGACTCCAGCTTTGATCTGGCAACAGAGGTAGCCTCTTCCAGTCCTCCGTTCCCTGACCTCAAAGCATGCCGAGCGACGGGGGGTGTATCTGAGAGCCCGGAGCGGGCCGAAAGTCATCAAGCATGAATACTACCTACCCACGTCCATCCACCCGCAGCTCTGCTCGTCGTCGATAGACCGCTGCCCGACGGACTCGGGCAATAACATAGACTTTTCTCCTTCACAGATTCACACAATTTAGCTGCGCAGGTCACGCATTATGCAAACTGGCCTTCATTCGGTGAGAGAAAACGGTGTTTGGAGAGAAGATCTCGCAGCCTTACTGACGCGTCTTTGCGGCATGAATATGCATCTTATCTACTCGTGGAAGCTGTCACTTGAAGAAGCAGTTGGACTACGGGCCTGGCCAGCAATGCACGACGAATAGAAGTGATAGTAGCATCGGATCATCGCATTGCGTTCGAATTCGCGAGCCGTCTCCTGGCGTAGACTCTTTCTATAATGATTTGTGGGTGCTTGCCTTGCACTTCTGCCCATTTGTGTTTACTAAGACTCCGACGAAGCTGCCAGACTCGGACTTTGACAGTCGACTCGTGCTGATGAATTTCTACACGCAGCAACCGAGTCACCGCGTAAGAATGGCGCAAAGACCGGGTCTTCACGCGAAAACGCACCACTCAAGTCGTCAAGTGCACCCAGGCGTAGTATGATCTTGACTAGAACTTGCAGTTTGCGATTTGTTGGTCCAAGTTGTGCCTTTGCGCATCCCGGCCTCTCGGCGCCAAAGACCAATCCCGATCGCCGCTACGTCATCCGCTACCAACCGCCCGGATTGGCCGGCGAACCGGAGAATTTGTGGTCCTCGCGGCGGCTGGGAACGCGTTCGCTCATCCTGCCACACAATGATGGTATCTTCCACCGAACTGCGTCCTGAGTATCCCTTGCTCGTTGCTAGCGCATCCGCTGCAATGAGCCTTCCAGAGTTGGTTAGACAGCTGACTCATCCGATGTTCAGGCTGGCTGCTGTGCGAACATACCGAGCGTTTCAAGCTATTGAAGAACGTATATAACCCGCTTCCACGGTTCGAGTTTCGTCCAACATCACCACCACCATCGCAAGAAAATCCCCCACAATCTCGTCTCCATCGCATACCCAATGGCCACAGCAGCTGTTCTTCCACCTCGGGATGTCCCCACTACTATGAACTACTACGCTCAGGGCGAGAACAAAGAGGCCCCCTACCAATACGTCAGCGACCCTCCCGCTGGCAAACCCAAGACGAACGTCGATAAGGATACCCGTTCCGTGGTCGTCCACGACGCCCGCGGCCGCGAAGCCGATTTCAATCTCGACCAGAACGGGTTCCAGTACGTGAAACACGTCAGCCAGGAGAAAGAGTTTAGGGATGATGAGAGAATCAAGGAGGTGTATTATAAGGAGGTTGAAGAGCTGTTGAAGAAGGAGGTTGGGGCGAAGAGGGTATTCATCTTCGACCACACTGTTCGGTGAGCTTTCTGCGTTTCCGAGTACCGAAGTAGTCACTGACCGATCTCGCATACCTCAGGCGCAAGAACCCGGGAGACGTCCCATCTGACGATCCGTTCAAAGCCCCCATCCGCGGGCCCGTTCACTACGTACACATCGACCAGACCTACCAAGCCTCAATCAACCGCGTCCACCACCACCTCAAAGACGAAGCCGACCGTCTCCTCAAAGGCCGCGTCCGCATCATCAACGTCTGGCGTCCCATCGGCAACCCGGCGTACCACAAGCCGCTCGCCGTCTCCGACTGGCGCAAGCTCGATACCAACAAGGACTTGGTGTCCGT